CACTTCTCTGCCTGAGAATTGAACTCATGCTGCAGGGCCGCAGACAGCCCCATAGTGCTGTGCTTCAACACCTTCCGGCACAAGGGAGGCCCCATATAAGACTTTTAATATAATTAGTGTACCACAGTTTTTAAATCAACCACCCAAATTTACCCATCCCCTCATGGATATATTTTCAGCCAAACAAGTTTGGCCTAAAGCAAGGCCCAAAAGCCTGTCACAAGTCTAAGGTAGTTTCCAGCAGGGACTCATAGAAAAGAGTCACAAGCAGCCAGAGACGTCTAAAAGAAAAAGAGCAAAACCAAAATCAAGATAAAAGCTGCCATAGTTGGCCCTCCCTGGTGGCGCAGCGGGTTAAAGCACAGCACTGAGAATCTAAAGCTGCTTCCGCATGAGTTCGATTCCCACCTCCCCCGGAAGTGACCACATGGTGTGGCAGACCTCTCCTGACCCGCCCGCTGCTCCCCTCAGCAGTGTACTTCGATGATCTGCCTGTTCTGTTCCCCACTCTGTCACTGGTGAAGCCTCTCAGAGGCCTCTGGCCTGTACCCCAGTTCTGTATGCACAAATAAATAAATCTAAAAAAAAAAAAAAGCTGCCATACTTGACCTCCCCATGGGTCTCTCACTCACATCTGTGTCGCCCAGTCCAGGGCCAAGAAGCAAGTGCAGTTTCTTTCCATGTCTCTATCTGCACATGTGCCTCCCTCAGGCCTCCCTCGGGCCTCCTCCTGGCTCTCCACCCTGCTTCCTTCTTTCTTCAGTCTCCTCTTCAGCTTCTTCTTCTCTCTGTTCATCCCAACCCTCCCTTGGGTGGGGCAGGGAACCTGGAACCTACCCTTTCCTGGGCAACAACATTTCCACTTCATACTGCTAAAATCCTTAAGTTAGCTACTGAGATAAGTGAAAAATTAGGAAATATAGAGACATTTCCTGTCTTTCCTGTAGTAGATAGCATAATACCACTCTAGATTATAAAATATTTTAAGACATTCAAAGACTTAAAATGAAAATCAAATATGTAAATAATCTAGTCAACTTCTCTATAATTCAGAACCCAACAGAAAATCTTGTAGAGTGTAGATAGCACATCCAGAGGTTACAGCAAGCTGCCTGCCCTTTAAGCTGTTTGTGGCTAGTAGTAGAATTTCTTTCTTTCTTTTTTTTTTTTTTAAAGATTTATTTATTTGTGCATACAGAACTGGGGTACAGGCCAGAGGCTCAGGGGCGGCGAGAGGCTTCACCAGAGACAGAGTGGGGAGCAGAAGGCAGATCGACGAAGTACACTGCTGAGGGGAGCAGCGGGCGGGTCAGGAGAGTTCTGCCACGCCATGTGGTCACCTCTGGGGCAGGCGGAAATCGAACTCATGTGGAAGTGGCTTTAGCTTCTTAGTGCTGTGCTTTAACCCGCTAAGCCACCAGGGAGGGCCACTTCTTTCTTTTTTTAAGATTTATTTATTTATGCATACAGAACCAAGATAGAGGGACAGTGAGAGGATTCACCAGAGACAGAGTGGGGAGCAGACACGCCAACTGACCAAGTACACTGCTGAGGGGAGCAGCTGACGAAACAGAAGAGGTCTGCGGCGCCATGTGGGTCACCCCCACAGCTGGGGATCGAACTTGCACTGCAGCTGCAGCTAGCTTCATAGTGCTGTGTGAACCGGGCTGCCTGTCTGGGTCCTCACCCACGCGCTTAAAATTTAGTTGTACTGGAGGGGCACACAAAGGGTCAATAATGGGTTTATTTACAAAAGAGGAAAGGAAAAGGAACCACCCAGGCAAAGATAGAGAGATACAAGGTTAACTAGAAGGTTAAGTCAGCTAGGCTGACTTGGAGTTCTGGGAACAAACTAACTGATAGCACCTGGTGACACAGTCTCGAGAGTGGTTGCCCAAGCAAGTGAGTGAACTGTTGAAAATGACTCCCTGTTTATCCCCAAAGTCCCAGAATGCCTCCTTAGCTCCGCCCTTGGATCTTCACAGTTCTCTCCTGGTATGGCTGGGAGTTGTAGTTTTCCATCACTGCAGTAGTGGGTGGAGTCCACAAAACTGCAAAGTTCCTTTAGGACATCCTTCACCTTAACACTTTAATCTGTTGCACCACCAGGGAGGACCCAGCAGTAGTATTTTTTTCTGTGCTGCACAATATAAAAGCTTTGTTGTTTTTTTTTGTTTGTTTGTTTGTTTTTAATTGTTAGGTTGCTCAAGTCTAAACTTCCAATTTTTGTGTCCCAAATCACAATGATTTAATATAAAAAAATTCATTGTTCCTTTATTTTTGTTCAGAGCAAATGAAAATCACGTAATGGGCAAAAGGATACAACCTGGTCATATTATTCTCAACCTCTGTGAGTTCTGTACTTTCATAACCATAACTACACTTGTAATTCTTTCACTGAGTTAGTTATCTTGTTTTAACCCAGAACTCTTAAATGTTTGAGAAACATTTCGGTATTGTTTATTCCATTACACCTTGCTAACACAATACTTTCTGATCAAAAGGCTGAGCTTTCAAGTAGTTCCAATCATCAAAAACTTGGAGCTATGATTTTGGCTAATTTAATTGATAGGAAATACCATCAAGTTAACCATACATGCTAGTGATGAGGATTGAACTGACAGAAAATAATAAAATGCTTGTATTTGTGCAGGGTGACAGGAACATTTGAACTTTCAAGAAAGGAGACTTCATTTGGGATTTGGGAGTTGTACTCTAGAGCAGGGCATTAAGAGGAATGTAATGGATAGGGATGAATTGCCTTTCTTGTCTAGCATGAGCAAAGAGCCTGTGAAACCTGAGGATCAGGATATAGATTTCTTGAAAACATTTGGGGATGCCTCATCCTTGCCAAAACTTAGCTACAGATGTATTCGCATTCAAAGACCATTAGTTTATAGAGCTGGGCTGTGTTTTTGGTTTTGTTTTGTTTTGTTTTTTAAGATTTATTGATTTATGTGGCCTTCCAGGTTGTGCAAGGGGTTAAAACACAGCATTAATGAAGCTAGCCGCAGCTGCTTCAAGACAAGTTCAGTCCCAGACGGGGATTTGACCCACATGCCGTGGCAGACCTCTCTGTCTTGCCCACTGCTCCCCTCAGCAGTGTACTTCATCAATCTGCCTGTTCTGCTCCCCACTCTGTCTTTGGTGAATCCTCTCACCACCCCTGCATCTCTGGCCTGTACCCCAGTTGAGTATGCACAAATAAATAATCTTTTCTTAGAAAAAGGTTTATAAAGACTGTACAGAAAGATATCTTTTAAAAAAAATAAAAAGATTTATTTATGCATACAGAACTGGAGTACAGGCCGAGATGCAGAGGTGGTGAGAGGATTCACCAGAGACAGAGTGGGGAGCAGAACTGGCAGATCTACAAAATACCACTGCTGAGGGGAGTAGCTGGCAGGTCAGGAGAGGTCTGCAAAGCCATGTGGGTCACTTCCCTGGTTTGGGATCAAACTGGTGCAGCAGTGGCCACAGTGCTGCACTTTAACCTATTGCAGCCACCAGGGAGGGCTCAGGTTCAGTGTCTTTAAGGGTAAATCTCTAAAAATTACTTCTATGGTTTTATTAGACAAGAGGAGGGTTTCCCTCCTTTTGTTGAGTTTCTACAATTTTTATTTCTTTTGCCAATAATCCACTTTATCATTTCAAATTTACAAAGTAATACATAGGAGCCTCTCAATTTAAAAAGAAGTGCAGTTTTCCCCACCCAAGTGCTTTTACTTAGCCCATTTTTCTCTCTCCACAACTGAGGTGAGTTGTGTAGAACATTTTTCTTAACCAGCATGTTTTTCTATGGGTTTTGCTGAGAGAATGTAGAATTTTTCGTGCAGGATTTTTTTTTTTTTTAAACCCACGATAGTATTTACTTTAATGCCTTTACTATATAAGCTCAGTCATAATGCCCCTCTGATGCGAGAGAGAGGGGCACCCCAGTGGCTGAAGCCAAGACTATTACACTACTTGCAGACTTCGCTATGTATACGTGTACGTGCTCTTAACTATATGTCCCTATTGATTAATGCCCACGAAATAAAGCAAGTAAATAATTACTATCCAGAATATAGATCAATAAGAAAAAAGGCAAACAATTCGACCATAAAGAGGTTTACCAAGCAATTCAAAGACTACTAAGAAACAATAAACATGATAACCTGCTTGACCTTACTAGTAAGCACACACCTGCAAACTCAAACTGCAGGCCACCCCACACCCCTCTTTCCAAAGTGTGACCCGCAAACTACTGGCAACTGCACCTAGGCACGTGGGCACTGGTATGCGGAGACCGGTAGTCTCGCCTAGCTCCAAAGGTTATTTCTCCTGTGAGACCCCTGTAGTTTGAGGTCTGTGTCTTTTAAATAAAATAACTAGAGTGACAGCTTTTCTGGGTCCAAGTGAACATTTAGGAGGCATTTGTCATGGATCTCTGATATTGAAGGCAGACCAACCTTTTAACTGAAGACGAAGCGACAAGATAAACGCAGTTGGAATCTGATGAATTTATTTGGCTAACGAGTTTACGTACAAAAAGTGTCAAGTTCCTAAATGTCCACTAATTGTTCGAAAGATGGGCAACAACGAAAATTTAATCCTGAAACTAAGAAGCAGATGCGTCCGCGAAGGCACCATCTGGCACCACTGAACAAAAAAACTCCGATCCCGGAAGCTGCAGCGTCTGCCTTCCCCGCCCCGCAAAGGGGGCGCAAAATGGCCTGAAGAGCTCCCGGGTCGTACCCTCGAGCAGACTAGTCCAATAGGAGAGTTAGGGCGGGGCTCCCTCCTGGCCGCCCTCTTCGGGCCTGGCGTCTGGAATTTCCGCCTTTTCATTGGTCAAAGGTGGAATGCCGGATGTGGGAGAGGCCAATCGCAGCGAGCCTTGGTAGAGCCGTCGCCCTGGCAACGCGCGGAGCCGCCTGGGAGAGGCCTTGGGAGGCTGATCCAATGCCCTGGCGCCCCTGGTGCGGCTGTGTCTTCCAGGGATTCGGGGTCAGTTGACTGCTAACCCCAGTTTTCCGCCAGTCGGGAATCCGCGCTGTGAGCACACTTCTGGGTCCCTTACCTGGCTTGTCTTCCCTCCATCACTTCGCATGCAACCTCACCCCGGACCACACTCAGGCCACTAACGAAATTGTCCTTGCCTCTGCCCCAACAGCGTCCAAGGGCCAGATGATGGAGGAGCGTGCCAACCTGATGCACATGATGAAACTCAGCATCAAGGTCTTGCTCCAGTCTGCCCTGAGCCTGGGCCGCAGCCTGGATGCGGACCATGCTCCCTTGCAGCAGTTTTTTGTAGTGATGGAGCACTGCCTCAAACATGGGCTTAAAGGTGAGCCTGAGGGGGCGGCTGGGGAAAGTAGGGCTGTTAAGTATGCATTCGTTCATCGGTGCCCAGCATTGTTCTGCGTGCTAGAGAAACAGCAGTAGACAAAACTGACAAAGTCCCTGCCACAAGCGTGACATACTAGAGCGGCCATTCCAATAGGAATGGAATGCCATGTAAACTACAAATGAAGATTTAATGTTCCAGTAACCGTATTTAAAGGGTGGAAGTAGGTTAAATTTTGTATTTCATTGAGCCCAGTATTTCCAAAATACTATCATTTGGCACTCTATTTAAAAACCTTTTAATGTGATATTCATCATTTTCACATGATGGCTTGGAAGTTCATTGTGTGTTACACTTACAGCACGTGTCAGTTGCACCAGTATGTTTTAAGTGCTCAATACCCCATGCTGTTAACGGCTTCCTTGGACAGCACATCTCTAGAGGATGAGACAGACAAATGGAAAACAAAACCAATTACAAATGATACAAATTCAAGGAAGCAAAATGAATTAAATGATAAGCAATCAAGGAAAAAAATCGTTCAGCTAGAGTGAATGTTTTTCCAGAAAGATGAAGTGTGAGCAATGCCTAAAGGAGGCATCAACCTTACAGAAACTGACAGCATTCCTAGCTAAAAATTTTAAAAAGGAAAAGTGGGTCCTGAATGCAAAGGCCCTTAGAGAAACCAACCTTCGTTTGAGAAGGACAATGAGTAACTAAGGCAGGCATGCTGAAGCAGAAGAGATGAGATCGGGGAGGAGGGGCTGGATCATACAGGCCTTTATAGGTCAGATGTGGAGCTGGATTTTATTCTGAGTAGATTTGGAGGAGTTTAAGCAAGAGAATGACATGACCTCACATTTTTGAAAAGAATGTCCCACTGTGTGGAGAACAGATTGTAAGGGAGGGAAGGTGACTAGTAGGAGTGGAGAAACCCATTCCAGCGTTATTGCAATAGTCACATATGGGATGGTGCTTTTAAATTAAGTATTGCTTTTGGCATTAGGTATGAAGAAGAAAGGGGAAGGAGTTTGCAGGTGATTATAGGAGGTACTTTGTTTGCTTTATTTCATGTATTTTGTCTTGTCAGAATTTATTATTGATAACTTGTTATTCATTGTCTCCATTAAATATTTGGAGAAAAAGCATAATAGCTATATCAGAGAAACCCTGTAACCCTCATTTGTAATTTGGGAAGTTACTTGGTCAATCCCAAGACTAAATCTGAAAGGTGCAGTGGTAGAATTCTGTAGCATTCATTTGGGTGAGTAGCTGTAGGTCCCTGAAGAAATTTTGCTACCTGTCCTTATGAATAATACTTTTGTTTTCCCTTTTAGTTAAGAAGAGTTTTATTGGCCAAAATAAATCTTTCTTTGGTCCTTTGGAGCTGGTGGAGAAACTTTGCCCAGAATCATCAGATATAGCCACTAGTGTCAGAAATCTGCCAGAACTAAAGTGAGTGAGAAGTCATCACACTGATTTGATTTTTTTTAACACCCTCATGTTTACCCTCTTCATAATTCCTTGCTGAGAAAACTTGGGAACAAATTAGCACGAATCAGTCTCTGCTTCGACTTTAATCCCAGCTCTGTTATTTACTTGCTACATAACTTTAAGTAAGATTTGCTCCTCTCTAAGCCTCAGTTCCCTTTTCTGTGAAATGGAAACAGTGATTCATATTTGTCACAGAAGATATAACAGTTTGAAAGTTACTACCTTGCCCTACTCCCTCCTCAGGAGTAGTTCCAAGAGGGAAGGGAGTCAGTGTTACACTCCTGGAATCATTGCTTCAGGTATTATCTGTCTGGACAGTTTTCTGCACAGTACAGTTTGAGCCAGATTGGAGATTCTAAGATGAGACACTTGGAAAAATATGGGCTCCTGAACCTTTGGCCATGTCTGGATTTGCCCTTGGAGTCTTCATACATAGGCACAGAATAAAAACACTGAACAGAACACCAACAAAGCATTATCATGGAATCTGCATGGAATTTAGGAGGGACACTAGAGAGCCTTAGGTCATGGAAAGAACTCCCTTTCCACCGCTGTTTGACCAGTGTCCCACAGAGGCATCCTCTTCACATATCAAATAATAGCCACCAGCATTTACCATGCTGCCTGCCACGTGCCAAGCATTGTGCTAATGAGATTTAATTATCTCATTAACCAACAAAAACATAAAAAGTATATGCTGTGTGGAATCCGAGACTGAGGAGGTAAGTAACTGAGTAGTAGCCAGGAAGAGAACATAGGCCTGTTAACTCTGAAACCCTCACAGTGCCACTAAAGGCCATTGCTGCCAGCCCCATGCATTTTTCTCAATATGGCGTTATCCCTCTGCTCCTGTCCCGAGTTCAGTTCTCTGGGTCTATTGCACACAAAGTGGAAATTTTTACATGTGATACCCTTTCAGATGTTTATTTGCTGACCTCTTATGAACTTTGTTTCTTCAGTTCTTTATGTGATAAGATTGTCCATCCCCGTCCAACCAGCTTACTCCCTGGAAAGCAAGGTGTGTTCTGATTGTAGTGGAGCAGGGCAATTTTCTTCCTGCACTGGAGCCTCTGTTTTCATTTTTGAAGTTTTTTATACTAGTCAGAAGTCACTGTGGGCTGAACCCCCACCTGTTTCCACATTAACCTTGTGGATGCTAAGCAATGGGCAAGCTTAAGCATGCAGATCCTCTTCCATTTGCCAGAACTGAAATACATGCTTATATGGCCTAACTTCCGCAGAGGAGCAGTCTTGTGGGAGAGAAGGAGCTGCTGTTTTGCTCTATGTAACTGCAGTGTTTTTACTATTACATAGTAGCAAAAGCTCTAAAACTTCTACAGTATTTGGAAGTTAGGCCTAGTGATTAGGGAGAGTGGGGGCTGGTTACTCTAAGGTGGTTTGAAACTTGCAGGATAAATTTTACATCCTGGGAGGTCTCTCTAGAGCATAGTTCCTTTAACCAAGATAAAAATGTCTCGCGATATTGTCTATCATCCAGAATTCTTCATTATCTTTATGTCATGGTTTATTATTGATCATACCTTACATGATAAATAGCACATATTGACACTTAAACTCAGACAAGGCTTTAGTCTTTCTTGCTGTTTTAGGGGGCATTTTTTTCTAATTATTTTAACTTACAAATAGAAAACCTCTTAGACAAACAAAATGTATAGGCACATTTTTACTCCATGATTTCTCAAATCCTCACTTATTCCCTACTCCCCAAGATGAAAAACTCTTCTGAAAAAGTATTCAGCCACCAACAGTGAAGTTATTTACAGGGTTATGGGTCAGTTTCACACAGAAGAAAAACCAATAAATCTCATTATAGCAAATCCTATAGCTGTTGGCATGGCAATTTTCTGGAATTCTTCCCTATAAGGTTTGGTGCATCTTTTAACCAACCAAATCTAATCTTCACAAACTTCCCACCATCACTACCAACACCAGGAAGTCAGGAACGTTGTGTTTCTTTCTTGAAAATTAGAAATTACCATTTTTTTACTTGTTTTTTAACTAGGAAATAAAAACAAAGAAAAAATTTCTTCCAGTAACCTACTACTCAGAAAAAACATTCCTGCATTTTATATCTTATTCTGTTTCCTTCCAGACTCATCCAGTGTATACTCGGACAAATAAGATTCTGTTTTTATACCCCCACCATGGCATCATAGTCCACTTATGAAGGTGTTTCCCCATGATCCTTCAAAATTACCAGTGCATCTTGGACCCAGCAACCCCACTTTGGTGATAACCCCACAGATCTAACAACATGAAAGTGATGCATGTACAGAACTATCCATTGCAGTATTGCTTATAATAACAGAGTAGCAATAGCTTAGATTAAAAAAAAAAAAAACCAAAAACTATTAAATAAATTATGGAACAGTGCAGCACTGAAACACTTTTTAAAAAGTGAGAAATTCTTGTCTATCTGGAAAGAATTTCAAAATAACAGATACTCAGTGAAGTAAGCAAGTTGCAGAATAGCATGTGGAACAATTTTTTGTCAAAAGGGTAGAAAATTTGATTTTACATGATTAGAACAGTTTTCAAAGGAGCGTAAACTAAGAATAATATATTAATGTATGGGGAAGGTAACTAGGAAAATTTCAGCATTAAAGTATGCTATTTTGTAGCCCTTTTTGCATAATAGATGTTAAACCTCTTTCCATAGATATCCATCCATCCAGGGGAATCCATAGCATTCTGCTGTGTAGCTTCTTTGGCCTCCCATTATCCAAACAGTGCAGTGGGGATCACCCCCCAACATTTTGTTGACATCCTAAATAAATTACTTCCTTGCGATACATGACTAGATGTAGAATTTCAATAACCTCCCGCCATCAAATTGCCTGCTGGAAGGATTGTTAGAGCCATTGTAGTCTACTACTCTCACACCAAAACAGCATGCATCCGTGGCCATGTTCCACTTCATGCCAACATTAAATCTTTTTCTACCATCTTTCCTTTTTTACTCTAGCTCAACAACGTTTATCAGCAATGGGAAAGGAAGCTCAAAGCCTTTTGCATTGGAGAAGTTAGGTCGTCCCTTCCTGGCCTGGCTCCTGAAATTACCAGCTTTGCCATCAGCCCTGAGAGCTCCTTTGAGGCAGATATTGAGTGCAGTGGTACTTCTTGTACTTTCCTGGATGTCACGAAACAGTTTAAAAGTGTTAGGTCGCAACAGACCTCTCCTCCTGTCTCGCCGGCTGCTCCCCTCCACAGTGTATTTCAGTCAATCTGCCTGCCTGGTCCCCACTCTGTTTCTGGTGAATCCTCTCTCCCTCCACGCCCCTGGGCCTACATGCTAGTTCTTGTATGCATAAATAAATAAATCTTTAAAAAAAAAAAGAAATAAAAGTGTTAGGTCTAAAGTTGGGAGGCTTTTTTTATTCTAATATTTAAAGGAGATCTTTTCAAAGTTGCATCTTTGAAAGGGATTGCATTACACTTGAATATATTTAACAATACTGAACTGTATACTTCAAAAGATAAATTTTATGCTTTGTGTTTTTTATCACAATGAAAAGTAAAATTGCACCTTTGAACTAATGTCTTAGAAATTTTGTGAGATTGCAACACTTTTTTAAAATATATATATATTTATTTATTTTGCATACAAGATCTGGGTTGTAGGCCAGAGGTGTGTGTGGTGAGGTAAGAGGATTTACCAGAGACAACGTGGGGAGGAAAACAGATGGACTAACTGAAATACATTGCTGAGGGGAGCAGCTGGTGAGACAGCAGAGGTCTGCTGCGCCCTGTGGGTCACCCCCCACCCCTGGCCAGGTACTCCCACCATCCCTGTGATAGGGCTGACTTAACCCCTAGGCCGCCAGGGAGGCCTGAGCCCACAACACTTTAACAAGCACTATATTCTATGTATTGATCTTTTAAGAGTATTTAGCTATTACACACATCTATTCTGGTATTTCCTGGCTTCCTGTGAAATTTTATGATATACACAAAGTTGTATTTTACTGTATTCCAGAAATCAGATTTTTGTGGCTTAAAATTTTTTTCTTGTGTGTGTGTATACAGAATTCAGCCAGTTTCCAAAGATTGCAATTAGATGTTTTTTTGACCTCCCTGTGAGCCAGCCCCTACCTCAACTCCCCCTATCTCTATACAAATGTAGCTTTTCTTAAAATGTTCTCTGCATCTGTGTATGTGTGTGCAGCTCATGTGTGAAACTGCGGGAATAGGCTTTCTCTTTGTTTTTGATGTTATTGTTACACCGTAACAGTTTGATTCTCTGAATTCTAGGACAGCTGTGGGAAGAGGCAGAGCTTGGCTTTATCTTGCTCTCATGCAAAAGAAACTGGCAGATTATCTGAAAGCGCTTATAGACAATAAACATCTCTTAAGGTATTTCATCACCTACCTTTACTTCCCTTTTGCTTTATAAAATATTAGAACATAGTTCCATAATTCATTTTGAATTAAGAGTGTATAATGCATACAATTTATATTCAGAAGACTAATAGTAAATATTCTGTGACTTAGATTTAAAACAGCAGTCTTTCATCTTTGGAGCACTGATGTGTAAACATAAAATTCATATTACTTTTAATTTTGAAAAATTGTTTTCTGCCCTCCCTGGTGGCAGAATGCGTTAGGACGCAGCACTGCATGCTATTTGCATCAGATTTAGTGCGTATTCGATCCCCGCCTCAGGTGACCCACATGGCGCATCAAAGCTCTCCTGACCTGCCCTCTGCTCCCCTCAGCAGTGTCCTTTGTCAATCTGCCTGTTGTGCTCCTCACTCTGTCTCTAGTGAATCCTCTCACCACCCCTGCACTGCTGGCCTGTATCTCAGTGCTGTGTGCATAAATAATCTTATTAGAGAGAGAGGCTATTTTGAAGATAATTCTCCAAAAATACCTAAGATTAGGTAACTGTTTCAACAAAATGATATTAGATTGGATGATAAAGGAAACAACTAATTTATAGCTTGATGCAATGAGTAATTTTAAATCCTAAAACCCCACATTTTGAATGTCCCATACCTTTGTTGCCTGTTTCAGGATTCCTTATCTAGTTTCTAAAATTTCACATCTCTTAGTATCAATAAAGACTTAACTGGTCATCTCTGAGGTTTATGAATATTTCTGTTTCTGAATTTATAGCTATATACACAAGAATAATCATATAAAAGTAATTAATCCCTAGAATATGAGAATTTACAAGTGAGGAACCTAAGAGTTGATTTTCTTCTCTCATTCAAATAAAAATGTCTTATAGAATGGCCTGCAGAAAAATTTCATTATTTTCAAGTCATAATTTATTGAATATATTTATACATGATCAATATTGATTTCAAATACCTTATATGCTTTGTACTTTCAGTTACACCAAATAACTTTTGAGGTATAGATTTTGCTCTAATGAAATAATTTCTCAGACAGCAAGTTCCTAGACTTTCCCATCCAGACACAGTATAATAAAGGCAGGGGGTGGATCCCACTACAGATGACCAGGTAACTGGGGGTTAAGGCAGTAAAAGCTGCCAGTATTACTCAGTGGAACACGGGGAAGAAGGAAGAGTTTGGTTCTTGGATATGGAGAGGCTTTTGATTCCCCATTGATGTTGACATGACTTTTAAGTGCAGTGTTTCATAGCATTGTGGAAGAAGAGACAGCAGGAACAGGAAGTTCAGTGTGATAATTAGGAATGCAGGAACCAAGAAAAGATGACGATGACTGTGGTATAGGAGCTAATCTTAGATAGCAGGAAGGGGCAACCCATCTAAGCCACAAGAAGAGAGGTGAAGCCAGAGAAAAAGCAGTAGTGCTGAAAGCAGGAGAGGAAAAGTGAAAGGCAAAAGGAACTCTGACAGTGAGCTTCTCACTGTTGGATAGCCAGGCCATCACCTTAGAGGTAAAAAAAGCAAGTGAGGTTGGGACAAAGGGGTGGTAGAGTATTCATGAACAGCTTGTCTGTTGTGTGCCTCTCTTTCAGTGAGTTCTATGAGCCTGAGGCATTAATGATGGAGGAAGAAGGGATGGTGATTGTTGGTCTACTGGTGGGACTCAATGTTCTTGATGCCAATCTCTGCTTAAAAGGAGAAGACTTGGATTCTCAGGTAAATTGGGAACTTTGACTCTAGATGGAATACCTTCTTTCAGTTATGGATTTTACATAGGATCTACAGGCTTGTGCTGAACCTGAGAAAGGGACAGGTGACTGCAAGTATCTTTTGGGGGCTGGCTGGAGGGAATATGAACCAGGGACAAGCTCAAAGAAGCATAAAGAGGTAGCATGGATAGAGACACACAAAAAGCTGGAGACTAGACCTAGTGGTTAGCCAGCAGTCATAGTAAAGGGTTAGCCTTGTCCTGTGAGCTGTGGGAAGCTGCTGGAGGTCTTTAAGCAGTATACACTAAAGTGCCCAGGCCTGGATTTGAGAAAGTCACTAATTAAAAGTGTCTGAGAGGCCCTCCCTGGTGGCGCAGCGGGTTAAAGCACTGCACTGAGAAGCTGAAGCCACTTCAGCATGAGTTCGATCCCGGCCTGCCCCGGAGGTGACCACATGGCGCGGCAGACCTCTCCTGTCTCGCCCGCTGCTCCCCTCAGCAGTGTACTTCGTCGATCTACCTGTTCTGCTCCCCACTCTGTCTCTGGTGAAGCCTCTCACCGCCCCTGAGCCTCTGGCCTGTACCCCAGTTCTGTATGTACAAATAAATTAATTCTTTAAAAAAAAAAAAAAAGTGTCTGAGAATAGAGACTACAAAAACCTTGAGCAGACTAGTCTGGAAATCCCAAGGTTAGATGGACCATGAGAACATAATAAGGAGAGATTTTAGAAGTCACATTGATTAAAAAGGGGCTCAAGTGACAGCAGGTAGAATGAACTACAAGCTATGTGGAGTGGGACAGCCCTCCTGAGTGGTTGTTTCTTCCTACATGGGAGCAGGTGTCTAAGGCTGAGGCCTAAACTAGAGGTGAGGAGTCTTAAGTATCTTGGAGGCAGACACCCTGATCCATCCACCCACCCTTCTTTAGGTTATCTGTAATTGGCTGGACGGTTATCTAGCTGCCTTCCTAGCAAATGTTCGGACCTGAAGAAACAAAAATCCCAGGCCAGCTTATTTTTTTTCTTTTATTTTTTGTTTTTGGTAACCTGTCCCTTTTTTTATTATTACTAGTTTTATTTTTGATTGTTGAGAATTTACAAAAAATACAGAGAAGTATTTTTAAAAAGACCGTAGAGATCAAATATAGTTCCATTACTCAGAAACAGTTAATCCAGTGTTAAATTTTGGTATATGCCCTTCCAGTACATGAGTGAGGGTGTATGAGTTAGAGAGAGTGTGTGTTTGTTCTTATATTTTAAAAAGAGATGTTTGACATTTTCTTTTTTATTAAAACCAAAAGGTAATAATTCCAAGCACACTGTTTTTTATTTTTCTTATTTAATAATCTTGTTCCACACAGTTTTTTTAATGTCAACAAAGATGTAGAACATTTTAAGTGAATGCATAGTGTTCCATTTTATGAATGTGCCATACATAACTTGTGTTACAAATAGCTGTTTGACTTAAGTGTTTCCATATTATAATAATACTTTATAAACATCCTTATACCTCTCTACACACTTGTTCATTTATTTCCTTAGGATAACTTTTCGGATTGCTGTCAGAATATACATACATGAGTATTGTGATAGCATAGGCTTTCTTGGTCTTTTTTAGTCTTACCTGAAGCTTGAGAACTAGAAAGGTCACTTTTTTTTTACATAATTTATTTACCATTGGGGTAGTTCAGCTTTTATTATTCTTTGTTCATGTCCTTTGCCATTTTTCTGATTTTCTACCTTGTTCTACTCCTTTATTAGACAGCCATGTGTTCACGATAGAGATAAGACAGGTTTTATATCGATCCGTTGTTGGGCAAATATCAGACAGCATATGTTATTCGCCAAACATTACTTCACCATTTCTGGCAGAGCACACTGCTGTCAGAGCAATTCAAGGGGGGGAGCTTGGAAGAAAACTTCCACTTCACCCTTGACTTTTTCTTGCACTGTAGTACATTGCAGTGTGTACTACCTCAGCAGGTAATTGGAATTTGTGGACCACTGTCTCCTTTGTGGCCTGTTGTTGACAGAAATACCCTTATGTAATAATACATCACTATACGTTTAGAGGTAGTCACTGGTTTTGAAAATTTTTTCTGGCTTTTTGTGGCTGGGTCTGTCTGTTGAAAAAAAATTACAATAAATTTTTTTGTAAATCATATTTTCCCTTTCTACCTTTTAAAATATTGTACATATCAGGTTTCTACCCTAACTGAAATAACTTTTTAAACCTAACTGTGTATTTTTTTGGAAGTCTCTTAAAATGTTAATTTTTGCCAGAAAAGCTAACAGTTTTGTTAAGTCCTTTGGTTTACTATTGTACTGGGTTGTTGGGAAAGTCATGACATTTTTTCTGTTTTTTTTTTTAGCAAAATGTGTCATGACTTTTCTGACAACCCAGTAATAAACATTTTCCATTCAGAAACCTTGATTTTTTTTTTTTTTGAAAATGATTGATTTCTGTGTATTTACACATATAAGAGCTGGGTGCTGTAGGCCAGAGGTTGAGTGCAGAGGGAGGTAAGAGGATTCACCAGAGACAAAGTAAAAAGTAGAACAGGCAGATTTCCTGAAATACACTGCTGAGGGAACCAGTGGGCAAACCAGGAGAGGTCTGTAGTGCCGTGTAGGTCAGCTCCTAGTGAGAGATCAAACTCATGGTGGAGTGGCTGGAGATAGCTTGATAGCGTTGAGACTTTAACCCCTGTGCCACCAGGGAGGCCCCATCATCCTGATTTTTTTTTTTTAAAGAAAAGCATTCTTAAAATCCTTTTAATTGGGGCCCTTCCTAATGGCATACCAGGTTAAAGTGCCTAACTATGAAGCTGTCTGCAGCCGCTGTAGCACAAGTTTGATCCCCAGCCAGGAAAGTGACCCACATGGTGCATCAGACCTCTCCTGATCACCACCTCCCCCACCACCTTTCCCTCCCCCCCCACCCCCCCGCACTGCTCCCCACTCTGTCTCTGGTGAACACTCTCATCTCCTGCACCTCTGGCCTATACCCCGGTTCTTGTATGCATAAATAAATCTTTAAAAAAAAAATTCCTTTAGCTTGATAAATAGAAATAATCTCTTCTCGTTCTACTGGTAAGCCAAAATGTACTTTCACAGTCATCTAGTTGTTTTGTTTTGCTTGTTCTTTGGTTACCAACACTCTTCTAGCAAAGACAAGCAATGGCAAAAGCAATAGAAGTTTTAGATCTGGAAGCTCTGGAAGGAAAGTCTAGGACATCATCATCGAGGTAGTTCTCAGCATTGCCTAATTTTCAAACAGCCTGTTTCTTTTGCAAGAGAGATGCACAGGCACCCTTAGTGGCCATGTCCAGGCCTGCTTTCTTATTGTTTCTTAAATCTGTTCTAACACCTTTTGCTAGAAGCAATTAAACAATATTTGCATAACCCTTCTGGGCAGCACCCTGTAAGGGTGTGTCTCCAAACTTTTTCTGTTGGTTTAGTTCAGTGGTTGGTTGAGTACATAGCATTCCACTGTGTCTTTGTGACAACAAAGATAGGGCTTCTACCTGTGCCTTAGCCATTAACTCCGGCTTTCTGAACACTCTCAACTAACTTGGGTTGCCCCTTTTTGCAGTTTCATGCAAAGGATTGTCAGTGAATTCTATCTGCTCAACCGTATACCTGCTTGGGATTCGTGCCTTTGGAGGTGCCTTTTCTCCAAAGGCAATGTCAGTAATGTAGATAATACCACCTTCCTCAAAGTAAAATTAACCTGGAGTTCTTGGATCATAATAAACAGTATTCTGAACACCATAATTTCTCCTGGCATGACTGGTTTGGGTGGCAACTTCGACATCTTGCTTCTTGGAGTGTCTGATCCTAAAGACCTCACACAAAAAGGCTACCAGTCTGCATGCCAGCTGTGCTCCCAGAACTGAGTTTCTTTTTTTATCTGGTTTACAGTGGTACACCTTCAACCACCCCACCATGGGAGGAGTACGGGCATAGCTGGTTCTCTCCATCTGTGTGGTTTTTACATTTAAATATTGTGCTTGCCATTTGTTTTGACATAATGTAAAGCGGGATGGGGGTGGGAGGTTAGAGTTCTTTTTTTTTTTTTTTTAAAGATATATTTATTTATGTACACAAGAACTGGGGCACATTCCAGAAGTGCAAGGGGTGAGAGGATTCGCCAGAGACAGAGTGGGGAGCAGAACAGATAGACTTGACTGCAACCACTGCTGAGGAGAGCAGCAGGTGACACAGGAGAGGTCTGCCACGTCATGTGGGTCAGCTCCCTGGCCAGGAATCAAACTCAGTGCTGCTGTGGCTTGATAATGCTGCACTTTAACCTGTTGTACAACAAGGGAGGGCCCTGGTTAGATTTCTTCTTTCACAAGCTGGAAACCAGTTTTCTCAATATCATGAATCAGATTATGTAGATTTTCTATTGGTTTGAAATTCTTCCTCTTTATCATGTGTAAAATAGTCATAATACACTAAAGTTTCTTCCTGGAACCTTGTGTTTAGGCCCAGATGTCTTAATTCCTGTGCCATAGTGTAGTCTTCATTATAATGATGGAGGGGAAAAAAAGCCCTCCACTTCTGGACAAGACGAGTTTGTACATCTCCCCATGTCTGCATGGATTTTCTCTGGTATTCTGGTTTCCTTCCATATCCCAAAGATGTGTACCTGTTTTTCAGGTCCTAGTTGCAGTGAGTGTGGGTGTGTGACATGTCTTGGGATAAAAGGACATCCTCTACAGTGGGTTCCCTGCATTGCTAGGGATAGGCTCTAGCCATCCAAGACCCTGAATTGGACTAAGTGGATTGGAAAATGAATCAGTAGATACAAATGATTTTTGAATATTAGAAGGGTTTGGATCTTTATTTAAAGTAAAGTTTGGTGATGTTTTATGGTCACATATGTGCCATAGGGTAATAAACACTTGTTCGTATCAGTTAACTTGTGGTAAAATTGATTTGATTTCCTGTCATTTCACTTAAAAGTTGCAGATTCAAAAAACCTATCAAAGACTAAATGAGGA